GCAGTTGGCTCAAGGAAAAAGCCACTGACTGAAGTTTTATAAATTATATACTGTCAAGCTCCGCTTATGCATTCCCAATATGCTGGTAGAAGCCCAGGTAATTTTGAAAAAAACCGCTGCTCAAATTCGGGATTGTTCAAGTGACTAGTCAGGCCTGATACTGACATCGTTGCACATATGTTTTGCACTTCTACCGCAAAGTCGACTATAAATTCCAGATGACTCTTCGATAGTGACGGTAGTTCACAAATTTGGCGTTGCAGAACACTGATGATCAATTCTGGTCTACCAAATCTTGTATGAAGTGTGGCCATTATTTGGTTGACACATGAGGAGTACAATAGCACATTTTTAACAGCCTTTCGCACTGGACCTTCCAATGCCTGTCGCAGTCTTAACAGATTCTCTTCGTCGGAGAATCCGCAAACCTCCATGGTTTGATTATAAGCGTCATAAAACAACGGCCACTCGCTGGTTTTACCATCATATTTGGGCAATTCTTCAGGAAGGCTGTTACGAGAAGCAACTTGATCCCGAGTCAATCGCCGATAAGCTGAAGCACCAAAGGACAAGCTGTTAGCGTGTCCACCTGTCGTAAAAGTTGTATGTGCTGGTTGCGGCAAAGCAGGTGCTACAAATTGTGGCGGTAGCTGCAGGATCTAGGATGGAGGCGGCAAATGATCCCTCAACCCATTTGAGATCCTAGGCATTGAGTATTGCCTCTCGTCGAGGTCGTCATCGAAGCCCCTTGCATCTATGCGATCCAAAAAGCTGTCTGTTCCCTTAATAAAGGCTCCCTCGACAATTTTAACTTGGCTTGGGAAGCTCTTAAATCAAGACCAAGGATCACAACGAGCACAAAATAGACTACAACTGCTAACAAAACTAGCCAATTTTCAAATCATGGGAAACGGAGGTAAAGTAGTTCAAAACTTTACTAAAATTTGACGCAGTACCTTAATTTCCCCCCAAGCAGATAAGCACATTTGAGCAGAAGCTATAGTCCTACCGCAACTAACAAATATGCTTCCAAGCTATCAAATAAATATTGGGTAAAGTAAAAAGTTCGTTCGGTTTTTTATTGATTTTTCAAAAGATGATAACTTTGTGTACATTTGTCCGATTTAAGTCAAATATGCGCCGTTTTGTTCGTAAACTTGTTGCCAACTCCCTCTCGTAGAAGGCTGCGTCCCTATTGGCAAAAAACTCAGAGAGATAATTTTCACAGGCCTCTCTTGAGGCCAACTTCTCACCATTAAGCGCGTTCGCCATGGACAGGAAAATATGGTAATTACTTGGTGCCAGGTCCGAGCTCCCGGAGCTTCTGGCGCGTCACCAAAGACGTGTGTGGCCTGGCGTTGTCCTGATGGAACACAATTCGGCCTCTGTTGATCAAAGATGGCCTCTTCTGGATGAGTGCTGCCTTCAAGCGGTCCAGTTGTTGGCAGTAGAGGGCCGAATTGAGCGTTTTGCCATAGGGGAGCAGCTCGCAGTAGATGATTCCTTGCCCATCCCACCAAACACACAGCTTTGACCACGACCGTTTGCGCTCGATGTTGTCATAAGTGACCCATTTTTCATCGCCAGTCACACTCCGCTTCAGAAACGGGTCGATTTTGTTGCGATTCAGCAGCGATTTGCAGATGGAAATTCGGTCCATCATGTTTTTTGCGTTAGTTCGTGTGACACCCAAACATCGAGCTCCTTTTTAAATCCAAGGTTATGCAAATAGTTCCAAACGGTTTTCTTGCTTATCTTTAGTTCCTCAGCAATTAAATAAGTGCTCACGTGACGGTCTGTTTCCACTATTTCCATGATTTTATTGCAATTTTCGACGACAAGCCTCCCGACGCGTGGTGCATCTTTGACATCGAAATTACCAGAACGGAACCTTGCAAACCACTTTTGTGCTACACGTTCGTTTACAGTATCGGGCCCATAAACAAAATTAATGTTTTCAGTCGCTTTGGCTGCTTTTTCGCTTTCATCGAAGAAAAATTGTAAAATATAGCATATTTTCTCTTTGTTGGTGTCCATCTTTGACGAGCGCTCACAACGAACTGAGTAAATCAATCGACAAACTTTTAGCGCGAATAAACACGTTTTCAGCGCCGTATAGTATGACATGATGCGACACGTAACACTAGTACTATGGACAATAACGCCATCTCTTAGATAAAAACCGAACGAACTTTTTACTTGACCTAATATTAAGAATTGACAAAAGGAACTGACTGACAGAACTGTAACTCCCCACTCCAATAGAGATTCTATTAGGCAGCGATCTCACAACACAGATAAGACTCGTAGGTGTTGTGAAAATTTCGGTTGGATCCTAAGTGAACATATTACTAATTTTCACATAAATAACACAATTTGAGGAGATTTATAACGAATATATTAGTATTGTGAAGACCTATACAAAGCCACAACTACTAGATCAGATAATGGCCGGTGCGTCGTACGACTACCACTAAAGCCATAATTTCCCAGCTCCCTCGCCTTAGGTTACTCCCGCAAATCTGCAATACAGCAGTTTTTAGGTATAAAAAAGATATATACAATACATGTTACATATATATTAAACAGAAGAGCGGAATATACGAGGATCTTAGAAAAATACCTCAATTTAGACCACATGGAGGATGTCAGCCCTGGCGAAAAAATCATACAAAGTAAATACTACTCATTTTACCTGCCACACCATGCAATAGTAAAGCCAGAAAAAAGACAACAAAGGTAAGAGTGTCGATGCTTCAAAATCAACAAGCTCGGGGAATTCTCTAAATGACATTGTGTTTCCATACACTCCAGTCAAATTTAATGCGGCTTATTTTAAATTTGCGTATATTCAAATTAGTGTTTAACGGGGACGTTGAAAAAATGTACAGACAAATAGTCGTACATAAATACGATCAAGATCTTCACCGAATTATTTTCAGAAAATCTTCCCCCAAATCAACTACACAACTACAAATTATTAACAGTGGCCTTCGGAGTTAACTGTGCTTCATACTTAGCCATTCGAATACTCCACGAATTGGCAGAAAACAACAAGTCAGAATTTCCTCTGGCAATCCCGTATGTATACGATATCCTGTCTGGAAGTCAGACTACCACAAGTATACGAATGCTTATCACAGCCCTCAAAAACTAAGGGTTTCCTTTAAAAAAGATTACCGCAAATCAGCCAAATATAGCAAAGTATATACCAAATGAAAATTTGTTGGACACTAATTTCCTTAAATACGAAAAGGAAAGTACAACAAAAACTTTAGGGGTTCAATGGAATGCAATATCTAACCAGTTTTCATACATTACCGAGTCAATATCTGCATTATCAGCCATAACAAAGTGGCAAAACATTCCGACCGCGCAGAATAGCTTTCGCTATGATACAAGCGAAATCCTGATACAAGAATTATGATTAAACGGAACCGACTGGGACGAAACCTCTTCGCTTAGAAAAATTATCCCAGTTTGCGAACAAGTTGAACGACATTTTTCAGATACAAATACCACAATGGGTAAATTATTCCCCGAACCCAAAGTCGAATTACACGGCTTCTGTGCCAATATCTGCGTGCGAACACAAAGCGATACCGGGACCACAAGCCACTTATTAGTAGCCAAAGTAAAGGTGGCTTCTTTAGAAACGCTAAGTCTACCACGACTTGCGATCTGTGGCGCGCTACTACTTAGAAAATAACCTTCTACAGTGCAGTCCCATTTAAATATGAAGAAATATAGGTTGTATGTCTAGTCCGATTCTGAAATTGTCTTAGCTTGGTTGGAAAAACCACCACAAGCAAAACCCAGATCTTGCCACCACCACCCTCTGATGATATGGCTCCCGATGGTTAACAGAATTTTCCGATTCTTGGCCACAATCACACATGCGCAATTTAATTGCCCCAGAAAGTCGATAATTTGACTGATTGATACTGACATCCTTTAGCGATTTTCATCGTTCAGAGTAATCGTTTACATGCTAAAGTTCAAAGCGACTCAATATTGAAGTTAAGGGAGTACCGTCAGAATACTCCCAATGCGATACATTGACACACCTAGAATTACAAAAGGCAAAGGGCGCTCTAATCTACTCGCGACTTAAACTCAAATGCGCCACTTCAGATATATCACTATTAGGAGAATCAAAATCGATTGATTAAATAAGTTCACTCATAATTCTTAACCCATTTCTAGACACGAAAGGTTTGCTTCGTGCGAATGGTCGGCTTGCCAATTCAAGCCTAACGAATAACGAAAGCCACCCTTATTATACCAGAGAAGATTAGAGACTTGCCACATTACTTCTCAGTTATATACGAATCAGATAAAAGAGGCGCTCAATTCAAGGCCACCCACAACACTCTCGCACGATCCCTTAGACTTCACAGACCTAACTCCAGGGCATTTTTTCAGAGGAGAATCCATTCTGGCGTGGCGCTGAGTCGCTATCCTCCCCTTCGACCATTCTTCGTAGTGCCACGCGACTACCACCAATAGAACCTTACCGCGTCCTTGTGTCGCCGCCCACATCGGCTGCAACACTGCAGCACTCTCCAGGACGTGCAACGGTTGCCCAGGCTCATGGGCACTGGCTAAATTGCTTGGCCATGGTACACGCTACACAGGAGTGTATGCACTCCAAGACAGGGCGTTGGGTGACAACTTGCCCCAAGTAGCACCACAGCCGGCAGCCTCACGTTCATACAAACCGAGGCGAAATAAATCATAAACGCGGCGGCGTAAGCCCAGGCTAACATATCGCTGCTTCGCTTACCGCAGCAGCAGAAATACTCCTTTGTGTCCCTTATATTTGGAAACGTAAAATTTAATTGAGTGCGAAGGTAAGTGGTACGGCGGTTAAGGTTCATATAGTTCTAGAGATACGAATTTTAACAAAACGGTATACAACAACGAATTAGGACATCATTGCAAATTTGAAATTATTAGCATTACTGGATATTATTGTATATAAAATTTTGAATATTTACCCATTGCATCCAAGATGTTGTCAAACTCCCTAGCATTGCAAAGAGATTGAAGGTCAAGAAACAGGTCACAGAAGTGAACAGATCCGGTGACTGTATTATGAAGTTTGACGACGGCGATAACTTTATGTCTAGAAAAATATAAAAAAATTATTAAAAATTAAATTATTAATTAAATTATTATAATTCTTACTAATTGAATAACTGATTAATAATATCTTCACAAAAGCTTTAAAATAAGAAACGTGTAGTACCCATAATAAGATGTTAACGGAAAATAATCAAAAAATGTATATGAACTTTTTTTTTGTAACTGCAGATGCTCCTTCCTAATGCAATTCGTTGTACCAAATAATGTCTTGTATCTTATAGTGAAGCTTAGTTATGGCACTTTGTAAAGTCGATTAATAGCATTTTGTGGGCGTGGCAATGGTCCGAGTCCCATCTGCTATAGCAACCTTCTTATGTAGCAACATGTGTACCAAATTTTATTAAGATATCTCAACTTTTACACAAATCCTGAATCTTTACATCCTGATAATTTATATATGTAAGTATATTATATATAAAAGTTCAAGAATTTAACTTGCTTCTAGCTGTCAGGGAAGCTTTTTATGAAGGCTGTATAAAATATAATTGCATTTCCTTTTGCTAATAAAACATATGTAAACATTGCACAAGACACATATGGTACGAGCTCGATTTTCAATGCGTTTTTGGAGCAGTTAACAAATCCTGTATCTTGTAAATGAATCAGTACGGCATAATATTTTAAACATTCATCAAAAGATTAAGTTTAAAACTATTCATAATAGCTTAAAATGTAGAATTATACTGGTTTGAATACTGTATCAAACAAATTTAGCCATTTTTCTTAAATTTAAGTTTTCGTTGTATTTCCTTAAACCTTGCTCTTGGCATAATATTTGCAATAACATTGATTTACGCGATCAGACCCACACTCGCTGTCAATAAACACATGAGTTCTTCTGCCATTCTTATTTTGGTACTCCTGGATCCTGAATTACGTGATTCAAGTTAGTATTGAGGCCAGAGTTTCAATCTCTTTTACTATTGTATCTAAGGTGATCTTTTTCGTGATTGCTGTCAGCCGTATTTCAACAGTTTCTTCATGTTTCAGATTAAATTTTCTATGGGGACTTTAGACCAAAAATAACTTTATACACAAATTAAAACAAGTAACTACAAAAACAAGGTAACTAAATTTACTACGTAAGCACTTCCGAAACTCACCAATTTCTCGTTTTTTCAATCAGTCAGTTCACATAGACCAGCTATACTCTAAGTGTGTTCCGCGGAACCCTAGGGTTCCGTGATACCTCTGTCGGGGTTCCACAAGAATTTAGAAAAAAAAATCAAAACACCTCTCTCTGGTCGCTGAGGCCGCGCGGAGACAAAACGCTGTGAACGTTATTTATTGTTTTATTTGTATTTGTACAAACATGTGTTACAATAGCTGGTACAAAATGTCATAAGTTTGGTATCAACAATTTTATACTTGTACAACCCGTTCGCTCTAAGTTTGCCGGTCTGTGGAATGCGCGTACCCTCCCCCATGTGACAACAAAACTTATAATGTGTCATAGTTTTACCCAAATACATACACAATTTTTGTTGTTACAATTAAATAAAAAATATTTTGTATTATGTTTCACGGATGACGCTACTTTTCGAACGTACTTAAGTTTGTTAAGGTCATACCTATCGCCAGCGGCAAACTGAAAGTGTACTTGTGAGCGCGCAGTTTCTTTGATAAAAGCCGCCTCTGAATTAGCGCTATAGTTGTCAACAAGCGACTTTCGCCTCTAACTTTTAAAGGATAAAGTCAATATTGTTTTCAACGCAATTTTTAAATTTCACAAATGAAAAATAAAGCACCTAATTGTAGTTCCAGTCATTATTCTGCATAGACAAGCACTTGCGATGAAGCAAATGCCGTCAAATCTAAAATTAGTTATGGATGAAGCTGTAAAAATAATTAATTTTATCAAATCACGACCACTACAATCCCGATTGTTCTCATTATTGTGTGAAGATTATGGCAGCAAACATAAAACACTGCTGCTCCATACAGAAGTGCGATGCCTGTCTCGGGGTAAAACAGGTAACAGTGTTTCAGAAAATTAGATTTTTGGATAATTTGAATTGGTAAGAAAGAAAATAGAAAGCTTTACGTTACTCAGTGAGTTTATAAGCGAAAACGACTTAGAAATGTTCGAAGATGATATGTTTGCAGAATTGGTCAATTATCTCAGATCGTGGCGCTCATCTTTTGAAAAGTATTTTCCCGAAGAACACAATACAAAAATTAAAGTGAATTCATGGATTCATAATCCTTTTTTACCTAATTTGGAAAAGCCTGAAAACATGTCAAACGAGATATATGAATCTCTTTTAGAAATGTCATCCGATACAAGTATGGAGTCACTATTCAAAACGACGCCTCTCAATGATTTTTGGTGCAGAATCCAAGATGAATATGCAATGCTTGGCCAAATGGCTCTGGATATTTTTCTCCCGTTCCCAACTACATATTTGTGCGAAACAGGATTTTCTACTTATGCAGTCACAAAAACAAAATATCGCAATAGACTGGACGCCGAAGCTGATATGAGACTCCAACTTTCTTCCATCAAACCTGATATCAACCAATTGATGAAAAATAAAAAACAGTTTCTTACCTCCCACTAGTTAGATTTTTTCTTTTTTAAAGTTTTCTATTATCGTCCTTGCCAAGTGGTGAAGTAAATAATAATTAGTCACTGTTACATTTTACTTTTATTATGCTGATTAATAAAGAATACACTTATAAAAACAATTGTTTTATTGTAGGGTTCCATCAAGTATTTTGCTTCCCAAAAGGGTTCCGCCATTAAAAAATTTGAGAACCACTGACATAGACAAATAAAATATGTGCTTAATGTATTCAATTAAAATTTAATATCATAAATAGAATTCGGAATTTTGAATGTTTCTTGTTTTTTATCACGTTGAAGCCAAACTTTTTATTTAGACGATTTTTCGTCCAATGTAACAGATTTTAACGCATATGCAAAAAATATGCTAAATATATACAACACAAGCAAAATAAAGGGTACTTTTCTTAGATATGTGCTTTTCAGATAGAAATAAAACGCATATAATTTAATGTTATGGCCAAGAATTTAGCTTCATTATAAAATTAAGGGTTTAACATAACGTTTTAAAAATGATTTGGGCCAATTTTCCACCATTTTTGGCAGCAATTGGGACCGTATGGCAGCAATAATGCGCAAAAATATTGTCTTCCAAGGCTTCCTTCAATATATTCATTGTTTCATTAGTTATATGGAACTAAAGGTTGTCCATATCAACATCCTCCAATTCATGCTCGAAAAAATAATTAATAATGGTTCTTTGGCGTTCCCCATTGACTGTAAACATTATGGCCGGCTTCCAAACAGTGATATTTTGAGGATGTAACGGCGTCTCAACAATAGCTTGTGTATTGTTATGACTCCAAATGCGACAATTTTGTTTACTAACATACCCATCAGAAAACTGCAACGAGTATGATTGAGTCAGATCAAATACTAGTGCCGCAATCAAATCGATTCGGCTGATCATACACAATTGTTGATCGATTCTAGTGCCTTCCGCAAAATCATCCATAAAGTGGATGAGTACAGCTCAAAAGTTGCGCGAGTTACGTCAGAAGCTCCACAAAACCCCACTTCCACTATAGCGCATAATATTGCCCCAGTTAATTGTAACCCAAAACCGATTTCCGAATTCCAAACACTTTCGCTATAAAAATTCTTAACGCGAACCATTTTTTATAATTTCCTTAAGAAACGAAATACATTGTCGTAGAATAACCCAATCGACCCACTTACACTATGACTTAATAAACAGATTCAATTCCAATATACATATTGTAACGGATTTCTCGATAAATCGTCTACCTATAACTCACCCTTGAGTTCGATCACTGGATTGTTAAATTAAAGTCCCAATTTAATGGCTATACACTTATCTATATGTGTTTCTCGCTTAACTACTCATTATTCGAGTTCACAACTTCTTACTTATATCTTAATTGTTCTTAACACAGAAACACTCTAACTAGAACTGTATTTGCTGCACAATCCGGCCGCCCTTATATAGTAGATTTTTAACAAAAGTTCGCCACTAGAACAACTACGAATTCGCTGTTTAGTTGCTTCTGGCAATTTATCGTCGATTCGATTTTTTTCTATCAGCCGAACTATTGAACTGTTATTAACAACACAACAATGTATAAAATGAAAACGAAACAAAACAAATACAAAAAACATAAACAAAAATTCACGAAAAACAACTTATAAAAATTAATTAAATAAAAAATTTGAATTCGATAAAGCAGAATAAAATTTAACATCGAACTATTCGGTAATTTATTCCAAAACTGGCGCAGTCTATGGAAATATCTCCGAAGAGATTTTAAAAGAAACTAACGGAAATATTTTCGAAAAGATATTAAACTAATCGTAAATAAATTTCTGAAGTAAAAAAAAGCATATTAATATATGTATATACAGGCTGGTTGAAAAGTTTCTGCGCTCGAAATGAAAAAATACTGTTTTTCTACGAAATATATTTTTTTATTTTTTTATTCAATATCATCTCCATTAACTTCAATACGCTTATTCTACTGATCTTTTAATAACTTTATGTCATCCCTATAATGACTTTTTTTTTTTGAAACCAGATCTTCTCACGAATTTTTTCATCCAGCTGATCCAAAAGGCTGTAATAATATTGTTTTACCTTTCTGCAGATAATGAATTAACAAAATTCCTTTTGCATCCCGAAAAACTGATGCCATAACCTCCTTTGCTAATCGTTGTGACTTCCCCTGGTTTGGAGCTAAACAACCAGCTTTAGAATCATGGTGGTAGATCCATGTCTCATCCATAGTTAAAAAACGATGCAATAAATCGGTTTTATTCTGCTTAAAACGCTCCAAATTATGCTGAGAAATTTGCTTTCGATACAGTTTTTGTTGAATTTTTAACGTGTGCGGTACTAACTTTCCAAACAGGCTTTTTCATATGCAATTCTCCATGTAATATATGAAGTACTCAATGAT